TATCCACCAATCGCCTGCTTGTATTCTTGAGGGCATACAGTTTCTGTCTGGACCGCACGACTTCTGATTGGTCGGCACGATTCGCCTGTGGTTTGTTGTTCAGACGCTATAGCGCGTAGGCGCTTGGCTGGCGTCATCTGGGAAGGCTGACTCACCACAGTTGTCTAGAAACTGTAACTCATCATTCCGTGGATAGCGCTATCCACGGAATGATGAGTTACAGTTTCTAGACAACTGTGGTGAGTCAGCCTTCCCAGATGACGCCAGCCAAGCNAGGATCACCACAGTAATGCTCATCACTCAGATTGCTTTTCTTCAGAGGAAATCGACTGTTTTGAAGGGAAACACAAATTTGCGTGTGAACACACCACAGTAATGTGATAAGCAAAACAAGTTGCATGATCCTATGCGTAAATGTTCGTAAAAAATTGCAGGAATTGCGGAAATACGCTAAAGATGTTTGGAGCGGAATGCATCCGAGTGAAGTTTTCCATCACTTTTTGACATGAATTAGAACTTTGTAGGACTGCTTTCTTTATTCGATTAGGTCGAGAAGACCTTATAATTATGTTTGAATTTTCCGGAACGGATCGTAATCAATTTGCAATGGTTTCGAACCAAAAGTGTGCGAACTTCAAGCATGAAAAGTATTTCTCGTTACATTTCTTTCTAACCAAAGTATTACTGTTTCAATGGCACAAACCAAAAGAACTGATACTGATTGAGTGCTTCCAGGTACTTGTCATACTAACACCCAAATAAAATTTCACTTCGTTTTACGTACAAAAGCTTATGATGTTATTTATTTCAGCTAAAAAAGAATGGATTTAAGCTTCAGTTGTAGAAATATAATCCGGTATTTTCAGATTTCTCGTAATTATATTATGGATATTCAACAAAATCCAAACTAGTAAGTTACCGCAAGTGGTAAATCTTATTAACCTAGTGGTGCATATACGGTGATACTTGTCTGAAGCCAACAGAACCAGAAGGAAGCAAATTTGAAACTAAAATATATATTTTATTGAAGTAAGAACCCTATTTATGGTATTCTGAACAGCAAATCATATGAAACATTACTATTGCCATCAATAATAACGTAACCATAAAAGATAAGTGGAAGTAAAGAAGCAAATAGTATTAAACATGATCAGTATCAATGCCACAGATAAATGAAAGATGAAGAATGATCAAGCAATTAGTGATAACGTTCATGTGATTGCATGTAACACGTCTAGGAGTCGATGCACAAGTTTAAAGAATTAAAATAGAATTTTTCCACAATCAACGAGCTTTTTCAATGAGTTCAATAGTTTATCCTTGATTCAAGTTTTGATTGTTCAGCAACTGACTTAAAAATCAGTGGGGAAATGCCTTATAAACAAACAAAAAGGTTTTTTGTTCAAATAGTTGTTTGGTGGATTTGAAGTTTGTATGTCGATTGTGAAAAGTTCAGTAGCCTCGGTAGGATTCGAACCCACGCATGGACGCCGCCTACGCTTTGTACGCGCATGCTTTACCAGCTGAAC